GATCCCTGATGTAATCCAACAGAAATAGGAAAATATTTGGTCAATCCTCCTTTAGTTCGAACACAAGTAACAATTCTATTATACATATCTTTAATGACTTGAATATAAGTCATATCAACACCTTTCCTCTCGTGAACTCTGCAAAGGATATCTCTCGGAACCTTATCGTAAGCTTGTTCTAAATCAATAAAAATCAAATGTAGATTCTCCTTTTTATCTTTGAACTTCTCCATCAAACTTCTCAATAAATTTAATAAAGACAATGATTTAAATATTCAATATTACTAATAAAAGGTGAATGTGGTTGCAGATAGGTTGAGTAGGAAATTAACCTATTTTCAATTACCCTCTCTCATAATTTTAAAGTATGACACATCAACTTAATTCCTCTATAATTTGCACATACTTGTGCATCATTTTTATTCTTAAAAATGGGGACCAAAATACTCTTCCTCCACTCCTCAGACATCTTTTTAGTTTTTGAAATAATATTAAAGAGTTTAGTAAGCAACCAAGAAACTTCTAAATCTCTTAAATATTTACACATTATAATTGGGATATCATCATGTTCTACTGATTTTCCACCATTGGTTTTCTTTTAATCTTCGTCAACTTCTTTTTAATTAATGCGAGAATAAAAATACAATAATTTATTATTATTAAAGATATTAAGATCACTAAGGTTGATCGTGTTTTCAAAAACTTCATTAAATAGTTTATCAAAATAACTCACCCATCAATGTTGAATATCTTTTTTCTAAGAAAAACACTTTTTGATTTTCATCTTTAATAAACTTTACTTGAGTTAAATGTTTACTTTTCTTTTCTCTTTGTTTGACTAGTTTATACATATATTTTTCACCCTTCTTAAAAACAGAATTTTTAAACTTTTTATGGGTCGTTTGATATTTTTCCCAATTCTCTAAGCTTTTGCATTTAAAGGAATTTTTATAATATAACTTCTTATATTTTTTCTTTTCTTGCACATTATTATTTCACGACCAACTATTTTTATTTAAAGAAACTTTTTCTTTTGATTATCTAAGTACATCTTTTGCTACTTGTTTAATAGTGTTTGTTACTTTATCCCACATAAAATTTGCTTCATCATGAACATCCCAAATTTTGAAATTTTGAATTTTATTCATAAAAGTAATTTTATTTGTCTTTTAGTTTTCTCTATCTAATTCTACGATGATGAGTTTTAGTATTTTTTATTTTAAAACTCTTCATCTTAAAATCAAGAACTAATAAACAATATTGGGTACTTAAATCCTTACTTGGAATGATCTTACAATATTTACAATCTCGACGATCTTTTCTTCTCATAAGAAAATAATCAATTTGTGTTTTATTAGATCTATTATTATAAGTAATAAGATGCTCTTCTCTTTTCTTTGAATAAAGTATTACTAATAACAAAATCAGATGCCAAAGTGAAATCTAAAATAACTCCACCTTCTTCATTAGTCACTCCAAAACCGTAGCCACCATGAATATTTCTAAAATCTTCTACCAGTCTACTGACATGTCCATTTAAATCTTCTCCAATAAAAATTCTTTCTTCAAAAGGAATCATTTGTATTAAGTCTTCTAAGTTTTTCCAAAATTTATCTTTAGATTCTATATCTGAACCTACTTAAGGAGCATAAACACTTATAATATTAAAAATCATAGTATCAATGATAATCTCAAGGGCTATAATTTTATCACCAACTCTATTAATTTACAACATTATCTTTCAAACTCGTATCTATAATTACACCTACACCATTTCTAGTGCGACTCATTACGAGAATACCAAAGTTTAAAACCTAAGTCATCAATCTTCTTAGCCTTTTCACCAACCCATTTAGTTTCTTGAAGACATAAGATATTAATCTTTCTGTGAATCTAATATCAACTAATTCCATTATTTTATCATTAAGAGTACCTATATTCTAAATTCTTATCCTAATATTAATTTCATTAGTTTTATTTTTATGGACTAACTTCTTTACCTGCATTCATCCGTAATGTAGGAATCCTTGCTTATTTGACAATACACTCGGACGCCGGTGTAGCAGCACTTGCACACTTTTCACTGTATTCAGACTATACAGTGCGTCGCTTCCAAGGGACGCCCTAGCACTAACACAAAGATCAAAAGAACTCTTGTCATGATTTTTTAGACAAGTTTTACGCTGACTGTCGACTACCTAACGCAATCCTCCACTTTTCACATCCGGGCTTGAGACCGACAATGACAGTGTTAAAACAATTGCACGTGTTACACACACACACACACACATCTCTCTCTCTCTCTCTCTCTCTCTCTCTCTCTCTCTCTCTCTCTCTCTGTGTGTGTGTGTGTGTGTGTGTGTGTGTGTGTGTGTGTGTGTGTGTGTGTGTGTGTGTGTGTGTGTGTGTGTGTGTGTGTGTGTGTGTGTGTGTGTGTGTGTGTGTGTGTGTGTGTGTGTGTGTGTGTGTGTGTGTGATTATCATAGTGATCCCAAACACAATCAATGAATGTTAAATTTTTTCACTTTTATTTCTACAATTGAAACAGTTAATGAGTCGTATTTAGTTAATTTCAAATCATTTTTTCGATTTATTTTGTTATTTTGTTGAAATGTTGAGTGTTGACAAATGAATAACTATTTTTAGAAGCACAAGTTACTCAAATCTAACTTTTTTTTTGTGGATGTTCAGCCATATTATTTGATTCAATTTAATTGTTTTAATTTTCAGGAAATACTTTATAAATTGTCTTTTTTGTATTTGTATTCGTACATTCTTTTTTTCCAGAGTGTAAATTTTATGAAATTTAGTCTGTCGTCTGGTAAATAATATCATAGATCAATGCTGTCTGGCATGTCTTTCACTTAGAATCTCTACTGCTAAAACTTCAAATATAATTTAGTAGGAAGGAAATACATGCATGCATGCATGCATGCATACATATAGTCATCCATTCATCTATCTATCCCTCATCCAGACTATTAAACAATTTTTTTTTTACATGGATAAACTTGTCTCGGCTTTCAAATATATTATGATCGCTGCTTATAAATGAAAAACTAATTTTAATAAATTGTCTTATACTAGATATGGAGAGTATCTGAAAAAATGTTTCATTTTCGATGCTATGGTGGCCAATTTTTAACGTCGCTCAGCAAAGGAAATGCAATATTAGCAACAGCAGACATACCCACTGTTTCAGAAACATTTATAGTTGAAAGAAATGACACAAAGGTCCACATTAAGCTCCTGAGTGGCAATTATTTGCAGGTATGGCATTGCTCCATCGGTGTATAACTCCATATCTAGTTGGCTTTTGATAGCTCTCGTTAAGTACGAAATGCTATGTGCGGGCGTGTCCTGCTATGGGGTGGGAAGCATGAGTGCGGTGTTGTCTATCACTACTTTCCGAGATTGGGACTCCCGTGACCATGCAGGCCTTAGTTTTTGTGCCTGGACTGAACCTGTAAAAACTTTTCTTGTTGTGGAGTCGGCCGGTCCTCTTCGGCCACACCTCACCATCCTATTATTATATATTTGTATTCCTGATGTTTCAAGTTTAGTTTTTATGTTTTGTATCGGGACAGCTGGCGGTGTTTCTTCTTTCCTAGGGATCTGGGTGGTGCATCGGCTATATCTTGGTCTCATATGGTGTGTATCTCTTCCCTATACGCTTTCACATGCCTCCCGCTTCTCTGTCACACCTCCCTCCTGGCTGCAGCCGCCCAGAAACGCATTCGTTGGCTGTTTTTCCTGCACGTTTCCTCCGTCCAGCCCTACCTCTTTGCTGCCATTGTTGTTCCAGCCATCCACCATCACTGTCGTTGCTGTCCAGCCCTTCCTCTTTGCTGCTGCCACCATGTCAGCCCTCCATCCTTGCTGCCATCACCCTGGACAGCCCTCCTACATTGCTCCTTGCTGTTTGCTTGTTGTCCGGCACCGGGGAAACAATCGCCTTGCTGCTTTCAGCTTGTTCACTGCCTTTTCCAACCCCGCGCTACCTTCAAACTATCGCCTACCGCCATCACTTCTGAATCTACCCCCTAACTTGTGTTTGTATTGTCAGTTGTTACAATTTCATATTTTTTTTATGTAGTTGTACTTTTTTATTTGATTTCCATAAGAAAACTCGATTTTCTTATTGTTGTTTGTTTAACTCTAGTATCATGCTGACCTAGGCTTCAGAAGATAATGAGCTCACGACGGACTATCATGGTAAACCGGGGTGGGATGATAATGCTGCAACATTTGAAATGGTGATATATGCGAACAATTTGCATGGAGATTTTCAGCTTGCTAATGGATATGGACAGGATAAAGCTAGAGAGATTCTAATGGTAAGTACTTTGCTCGGTTCGAAATAATGGCGAGACTGATAGATGTAAGAAACCAACTAAAAAATTTACGACTAACAAATTCAAAACTATACTTTGACAAAAGTAAACTTGTTTCCAAAATCTTTTCAAATAAAAAAAAGATCTAAGAAATTTCTAATTAGAAGAGGTCACCAGTTAACCTTCTTGATTATGTTGGATTTTATTACACTAACCATCCAAGGAATCTAATGAATGAATGCCAAATAATTGGAGAATTTTTTTGGTTCTAATGTTTAATAGGAAAATTTCAAAGATTATTTTTGTTGTGATGAAAGCGCCTAACAAGTGGTCGTCTCTTTTGTCCTTAATATTTCAATGGTATGACCCAAAGACAAAAAAAATTGTGTAATGCAACCATGAACTGTTTGATAATCTAAACTCTTCCATCATCTAGTGATTGACCTTGTTCCATAACTTTTCTTGTAGCCAAGAAGTTAACCTCTTTTCTTCTCTAAAATGTGATCCTCCAATACAATTGAAGACACAACTAAAGAAGCTCCTAAAGTTGCTCCTTGTAATATATAGAGTCTTACTTTATTGGCTTAATGATTACCGAAAGTAGGTGGATTACAACGAAAGCACAAAAGCAAACTTTAATTTAATTATAAATAGGCTTACAATACGGCACAAATAGAAAAGGGGAATACAATAACAATCCATTCCTCGTTTTGGACCAAAAGAAAAGATTCGAGGGTGTTGATGATGACGGTAATGTGACAAAGGGGAAAGGGAGAAGGGTTGAGGGCTGTCGGATAGTTTGGAAGGATAGGGAAGTGCCGCGGGGGGGTACGGATGGGGGAGGTCAGAAATACTGGACAACAGGTAACGAGAGTCTGGACAATAGAGTCAGTGACTAGACAACAGGTTTCGGGGCTATATGACAAACTTTGAGGGTTTGGACAACAGGTTGGACAACTGGAAAGTGGGCTGGAGGCAGTTGGGGAAGGCTTGGGGTGGTCGACAACTAAGGTGAGTGGAAGAGACATGTTAGGGAAGATAAAAATGGGAAGATAAGTCACTACCTCGGAATAGAATACAATTGGAGCACCGCCACTTCCTCAGATACAACCCTACAAAAGGGAAAATGATTCTACATAGAAAATATGAAAAAGCAAATACATCAAAAACTAACTCTAAACTCAAAAAACAAGCATATAAATAGATCTATCTAGGTGGGAAACAAGAAAGAAAAGACGACAAGAAAGGAACGAGAAAAGGGCAGGCGACACGCTTTTCCCACATGCCGCTCGATCTTGGAGGGAGATGCGAAAGGAAAGCCGCATGGGCCGCTTGACACTTTGGACGTCTTGATGGGATCCCCTTGACCGTCCCCTATGCAAGCTGGGTCAACCGACAGACTTTGTTTTTTACTTCCGTGCGGGAAACTACCGCACTCGCATCATTCTCCCGGGGTTGAGAGAGCTTCGACTTCTTTCGTCGAAGCTTATGGTCCTTCTCTCTATTCCTGGAAACACCCGGGCTCCACCGTCTGCTGCATTATCAACTAGAGTATCGAAGAAATCGACACCACTTGCGCATCCATGTCCCAATCGATCTGCTCTCCTGAGATGGTGGCCCATGCATGTACTACTGGATCCTCCTAAGGTAACCCACGGTCGAGCCAGTGGGATATACCATGAGAGTAGCCTAAATCTTTTTGTTTAATGGTGGAGTTGGTGTTGTGATTGTGGAGCCCACAACACCCAAACCAAATAGAAAAGCTTATGCTTTTGCGCCGGCCTTATGCGTGTTTTGAGCCCATGTTTGGGCTCTGCCTGGGGGGGGGGGCAACTTTTGCGCCCCCTATGAGTGCCTTGCTCATGCTTAGGAGCTTGACAGAGAAGGGGGCGCCTTTGCGCCCCCTTGGAGCGAACAAGTGCCCAACTATGTTGGGCACAATTTTGCTTCTTGAGAGATGGGCGCTTGTCGGCGTTTAAAAGGGGGAAGTTGCGTTTG